CATGTACATCACATAACATGAAAATCTCAGTGGAAATAACAAAACCAAATCAGTAATTTAATTTCAAACATCTCGTAAAAACTTCAGTTTCAATGAAAATTGTTCAAAACATTTGTTTAATATTTTCAATAGAGGCTCAGTATAAAGATGAGTGAAATCAGTAATTTAACCAACATATTCAATAGAGACTCACTTTAAGGAGGAGCGAAAACAGTAATTTCACAAAAACAAGACCCTCGGGCAAAGCATCACTCGTATGTATGTATATATAGCACCTCGGGAAAACATCTCAGTCACTCATGACTCAAATCTCATCATTCAGCACTTACACTCAGCACTTACGCTCAACACGTACCTTACAATAACCGCTGCGGCATGCAGCCCGATCCATATATATAGTCGACTGCGCTCACTAGGGTGTGCAGACTCCGAAGGGGCTCCTACAGCCCGAGTGCTATATCGCTGCGGCGTGCAGCCTAATCCATATATATATATATATATATATATATATATATATATATATATATATATATATATATATATTGATGCGGCGTGCAGCCCGATCCATAAATATATAATCCTCACAACCAGGCCCTCGGCCTCTCTCAGTCATCAACATCACAATAAGACCCTCGGCCTCTCACAGTCATCAGCCTTACAAGACACTCTGGCTATCAGTAAAACAAGGTGCTTAGCCCAAAATATTATTTTTGTGCATAAAAAAATAGAGTAATAGAGACTGAGTTATGAAATCAGTAAAACGTAGCATCACTGAGTGTAAATATTAAACAGAAACAGTGAGGAAACAGTAGTAAAAAGTCCCTAAGGGTCCAAACAGCTTAGCACTAGGCCGAAATATGGCATTCAGCACAAAACATAGTAATACTTTCCAAAACACAATGATATCAAATAGTTTTCAATCAAATACGCGACTTAATAGTCGTACGGGACGGACCAAGTCACAATCCCCAACGGTGCACGCCCCAACGCTCGTCACCTAGAATGTGTGTCACCTCAAAGTAGCACAACGATGTGAAATCCGGGGTTTCATACCCTCACGACAAGATTTACAATCATTACTCACCGCGAACCAGAAGAAAATCGACTCCGCAGTGCCCTTGCCACTCGACTCGGCTACAAATTGCCCCGAATCTATCCAAATCAATATTTTAACATCAATACAAGCCATAGGGACAAAGCCCACGCGAAAATTATCAAATTAACTCAAGAATCCCGAAATTGCTCAAACCCACCCCCGGGCCCACGTCTCGAAATCCGACAACCCATTCAATTACGAGACTATCCATACTAGTTTCACTCGATTTCGACTTTGAATTGACTTTCAAATCCCAAAAATTCATTTTATGAAGTTCCACAATTTTCCCCAAATATTTATCCCAAATCTCTACTCAAATGATGAATCCAACGTTATCATCATGTATTTTAGCCAAAATTGAGTTAAATCACTTACCCCGATGGTTTTCTTGAAAATCCCTCGAAAAATCCCCAAAGCCCTAGCTCTCTAGGTCAAAATATAAAATAAAACCCCAAATCTCGTATTTATAATGCACCTTCAATATTCCCTCACCGCTGACCGCGGTAAAGCACCTTTGACCGCACTTCAGGTGGCTGCACATACAAGCCTTAGTATTTTAGCCATAACTTTCCCTAAAAATGTCCAAATTATGATTTCTTTATGTTTATGGAAACTAGACACAAAGGGATACAACTTTCATTTTTTAATCATCTCAAAATTCCTTGTAGATCAGAAGATATAGGTTTCCGAAGTTGGACCAGCGGCCCTGCGGATTCTTCATGACCGCGGCCGCGACCATTTTCCGCCGCAGCCGAAGTTCCACCGCTGCAGCGAAATATCACCACTGACAGCGGTCCTTTTGGCTGCTGGGGAATTGATTTTTCCACTGTCCGCGGCCCCCCACGATATGGAACAACTTCCGAGTGCCGAAATGTCCGAACTCGCTCAAAGCTCACCCCGAAACTCACTCGAGGCTTCCGGGACCTCAATCAAATGTACCAACACATCCCATAACATCATTATTAGTCGAGCCTTCGAATTACTCAAAACAACACCAACACATCCCATAACATCATTATTAGTCGAGCCTTCGAATTACTCAAAACAACACCAAAACACCCAATCCACCTCAGGTTCAAGCCTAAGGACTTAGAAACTTTCAAATTCTACAAATAACGCCGAAACCTATCAAAACAAGTCCGATTGACCCCAAATTTTGCACACAAGTCATAAATGACATAATGGAGCTATTCCAATTTCCGGAATCAGATTTTGATCCCGATATCAAAAAGTCACCCCTCGGTCAAACTTTCAAACTTAAGTTTCCGTTTTTAGCCATTTCAAGCCTAAATTTACCACGGACCTCCAAAATACATTCTGAACACGCTCCTAAGTCCAAAATCACCCAACAGAGCTAATCCAATCATAAAAATTCAAATCCAAGATAAAGTATTAAAAGTAAAAGACTTGGTCAAACCTCTCAAATTTTAAGCCTTAAGCTGAGAACCATTCTTCCATATCTTTCTGTTCCACCTGAAAACCAAAACCGACTATTTACATAAGTCGTAATACATCATACGAGGCTAGTCATGCCCGAGAACCGGCGAGTGAAATACAAATGCTCAAAACAATCGGTCGGGTCTTTACACTACCACCAAGAGTATGAGTACATAGCAACAAGAGAATCACGGAAAAACCAAGAAGCACAACAACCTTTACAAAAACAGGAAGACATATAAGGCACGTGATAACTACACCGGCACCCACAACAATTTTTACACATAGCATATATGCACGGGGTCATAGAGGAATTCACAATTAAGAAACAACAAAATAATAAGGAGGAAAATCACTTCAATTAAGGCAAATAAGGGCCAAGTAACAAGTAAGAGTTAGAGGAAAGCTAACAATGTCGTATGGAGCATATAGAGGTAAATCAAGCAATAGGAAACCCAATCATATCGGAAACTTCCCACTTAATGAACATAAGGACCTAAGAACCCTAAAGGCAATTTTCCACAAATAAGTCTGAGCACACACTCGTCACCTAGCGCGCACGTACTACTATTAGCATAGAAAACTCAAATCCTTAGGGGGAGTCCCCCATACAAGGTTAGGCAAGACATTTACCTCAATCCTGCCAATTCAATACTCAATTTAGCTTTTCCTTTACCAGTTCATCAACGCTCGGCTCAATCTGGCCAAAAACGACTTGAATACATCAAACAATGCAAGAGAAAACAATTTCAATTAACAAAGCTATGATTCTTATGCAATTTGCAAAAAGTCAACAAAAGTCAACTCCCCGGGACCGCACCTCGGAACCCGACAAAATTTACAAAAACCGAATACTCATTCCGATACGAGTTCACTCATACAAAAGTTATCAAATTCCGATACCATTTGGTCCTTCGAATCATCATTTTACATTTTTGAAAAATTTTACAACGTCCCCCAAATTTTCCTTTTGATTCTCATGAATTTGATGTTAAATCTAAGATATAATCACAAAATGTAGTTGGGAATTGGTTAAATATACTTACCCAATGACTTGGTATGAAAATCTCTTCACAAAATCGCCTCACCTCGACTCTAGGGTTGAAAAATATGAAAAATGAAGCAAAAACTCGGAATACCCAGCTTTTAGCAAGATGCAGATGTCGCATTTTCCACACTGGGTTCGCAAATGCGAACTTGCAAAAGCAAAGAATACTTCGCAAATGCAAAGCCTGAGCTACCCTGTCTCTATCGCAATTGTGATAAAATACTTCGCAAATGCGAAGAAGGGGCCTTCTCAAAAGCGGCCCAAATGTTCGCAATTGCGAACTTCCCTTGCCCAGATGGTTTTCACATTTGCGAGACTGGCTTCGCAAATGTGAAGCCTGCCAGGCCCAGCCTTTTTTGCAAATGCGATTTAGTGCCAGCAAAAGTGGTGGTCGCAAATGCGACCCATTATTCGCAAATGCAAGATCAGACAACAGAAAATCAGAAATTTCTTCCAAACACTCCGAAATGCTTTCGAAACTCATCCGAGCCATTGGGTCTCCAAACCAAATACCCACACTAGTATGAACACGTAACACGAACTCGCTCGCGCGATTGGAACATCAAAATAACCTCTAGAACCACGAATCGGATGCCAAAACACATGAAAATCACTATGAACTTCAAGAACTTCTAGAATTGCAACGAAGCATCCGAACCATATCAAATTAACTCCGAACGACACCAAATTTTGCAGGCAAGTCCCAAGTGACATAACGGGGCTGTTCAAATATTTGGAATCACATTCCGACCTCGATAACACAAAAGTCAACTATAGGTCAAACCTCTCCATTTTCCAAACTTCAACTTTTCCAACTTTCGCCGAAATGCCTCATGTTACCCTACGGGCCTCCAAATCCAAATCCGAACGCACGGCTAAGTCCAAAATAACCATACGAAGCTACTGACATCATCCAAAACTCATTCCGGAGCCGTTTACTCAAAAGTCAAATTCCGGTCAAATTCTCACCGCTTAAGCTTCCAATACTAGATTCCTTCTTCCCATTCGACTCTGATTCATCCGGAAATAGAATCTAACCATGCACGCAAGTCGATACACACAATATGAAGCAGCTCGTGACCTCAAACTGCCGAACCGGACGCAATTGCTCTAAACGACTAGTCGGGTCGTTACAATCTCACTCCAAAGATTTAAAATAGTGGTGCAAGTTAGTTCTCTGTTTCTTGAAAATTTTCAGGTCTAGTTTCAGCTCTTATTTGAGCTAGTTTCATATGCATTTTCACTAAAGTATAGAAACAACTAAATTTTACAAGACACAATTTGACTGGTTATTAATCAATACTGCAATAGGAACCCTTTGTAAATCTTAATCCCCATACAACTACTAGAGAAACCCAAAAAAAATGGTTGAAAAGGAATGAGAATAGCACACTAATTAATATTTCGTCTATAGGTATGTTCACACATGAAAAATTCATAATATCTTACATATATTCACCATTGAAAATACATCCATAGAAGGAGAGTGCATATATAATATATTCTTCAAACACAACACTTTATTTCTCATGCAGCTAGCTAAAACTAGCCAATATTGCCAGATATTTATCTCACACACACAGATATGCATATATGTGCGTGTATTAACATACATATATATATGGCTATGAGCCATTGAATAGCACAGATTATATTACTTGAGAAGGTGACCCTCAATATCTTTGGTCACATGTAGGGCAAAACCCAAGAAAACGGAGAGGCTCTGGGGTGTCTTCAGTTTTCTTCTCGTACATAAATGTCCAAGTAGTCCATTGGTGGTCATGGGATGAGATAAGAGTGAAAGAATTGTACAACTCTAACAGATCTCCTCCAAACACTTTCCATTTGATTGATTTCTTTTTATGATCCATGACTTCAATCACTTGCTTACAGATCTTATCTTTTCCATCTATAATCAATAAAGTTCGAAAATACACGAGATGTTACTCCATGTTCAACTGTCCAATTCCTCATATAAAATATATAACATTCAGATCAACATATATTCTTCTCATTTCTTGTTTTCCCCTTTGTTTTTCATTTTCATTTTCTCCAAAATTTATTTGAAGCTCACAAAGATTGGAGGCGTTATATTTTTCCTTAATAAAATTATCACTAAAAATCTCAAAAGAACATATGGAATTGTGGAAAACATTGAATTAGTAGGGAAAAAGGCTAAAAATTGATTATATTGTATTTGGGATGACAAAATGAATTTTTCTTGAGAATTTTTTTTTTAAAAATATTTGGTAAAAACATTTCAGTACTTGGTAATTGGTGAGTGAAACACATTTTACTTATATATTATATTGAATGCTAGTAATAATATTAGCAAATAGATTATTAAGAAGTTTCTGAGTATAATCGATAATATGTCTAAGTGCTAGTTGGAGCAAGTATGAAGTCGAACATTAAGATAGTTACTAGAAAAGTGACTTTCGTCAACAATATTTTCCCCTTTTGATGTAATACATTTTATGGTAACCAAAAACATCATCAAATAATGTTTTCACGAAAAATATTTTTTGAATAAAGAGTTCTTGACATACTAAATACACCCAAATGCAAAGATTGATACAAGTAAATAATATATATGTATAGAAAGAAGAAATATGAATTACATACCGTCGTTATATTTCCAGCTAACAATCGAACCAACTTTTACGATTTCACCTTCATCAATATCAACTTTGTGGATCTTACCAGGATTTATGTTGGCTATATGATGAGTATTTGTGAAAGATATCATGAATCGGGTGTCCTCCACACTTCACCTCTACTGAAGCAATCAACTTGCCTTTCACACCTATATTTTCTTTTTCAATATAGAAGAAAAGTGTTGAAAAGGAAGTGGTGAGAAGAAGTTGAGAGGATGTAGTCTTTATATAGATTATATTCTTAGTTATTATTATTATTATTATTATTATTATTATTATTATTATTATTATTAGCTGCATGAAAAGCTAGTATAAAACATGATCCATGACATCTCATGCTTTTTATTATTGAGATGGAAGATAAATGTCAGGTCATTACGTGTACAATTAGGTCTTGCTACGTTAGTGTTGTCCTTCAGACCTTCACCATAACATTTTAACCATTTGACTTATTTTTAAAAAGGGAAAAGGTCTAAATTTTTCCCTCAAGTATTCGACTGAGAGCGGATTTGTCTTCCATTAAAAATGTAGCATGTTCGTACCCTGACGTTATACAAATAGTTTATATTTACCCTGTTGTATATGTGAGGTGCGAATGTATTTGTGTAAGAAGAAGAGTGAAGGGAGTAAGGGAAAAAGGGGGCGGCTATATGAGTTAAAAAATGAGAGAGAGTGATAAAAATTAGGGTTTTGTTTTTGGTAATTATATATTTATATTTCTCAAAAACAAATTTTTACAACCATCATAGAACTTCCGAAATAGCAACAGTTTGGACATTAGTCCCAAACTTGCTGACACTCACCTCTACAAACTACTCTCTTTCACTATGCTACTTTTTATGGATAGAAGTTAAGTAATTGCATACAGTTTTCTAGTCTACAAATTCTTCGTGCTCTTTCATGTAGCTCTCTTATCAGTTGCTTTATCAATTGATTCGATGTTCTTCTTTGAGCCTTGAAGATCCTTCAATTTCTTTCCTGCCACAAATGGTAGACTCCACCAGCTAGTGTCATCCTATACAGTTCCTGTTCAGCAGTTTTCCTTTTGCATTTTCAATTGTCCATGTTTCTTCATGCTGCCAGTTACTCATCTCCCTTTGAATACCTTTCTATACTAGCAGTTTGGAACACATTTATTTTGCATATTCACATTCAAATAATAGGTGGTCGATATCTTCATTCTCTTTTTTCACACAGTACACATTCCATATCCTCCATATTTGCCCAGCATGCAATCCTCTCCTTTGTTTGTACTCTCCTGTGAAGAGCCATGAATAGAATGAATATCCATTTAGGTAGCCCTGCATTATTGCATACCAACCTTCTCCATGGAGCTTTCTGAAAATCCCATCGACAGAGTCCATATATTTTCTTTATTGAATAGTTGCTCATAGCTGCCACATATGCCTCAGTCATTCCTATCTGATCAAACAATATCTTAGCTTTGATGATCTTCTGTACAATCCACGAGGCTTGAGTAGTCTTGGTGTCCCATACAGTACCTCTCTTTCTGTAGTATGAATGAATCCATTTCACCCACAAATAGTCTTTCTTTCTTCATATGTTCCACATTAGTTTCCCAATAGCTTCCCAATTCCACACATATATGTCTAGGATATTCAACCCACCTGCAGCTCTACGAAGACATAATCTATCCCACGCAATCAGAGCTTTTTTGTTGAGTTCACTTCCATTTGCCCATAGAAAGCTTCTGCAAGTTGATTCTACCAGTTGAGCAACCTTTTTGGGAAGTACAAATACTTGTGACCAGTATATTTGAATGGAGAAGAGCACAGATTTCACAAGCTGGAGCCTGCCTGCATATGATAGATATATAGTGGTCCATGATTTAATCATGGCTAGCATTTTATCTAGAAGAAGTTTGTATTGCACAATAGATAGCCTTTTTGTACTTACAGGGATTCCTTAGTATCTAAAAGGCATCTCACCTTTGTTAAAATGAATAGCATGCAAAATATTATGTTGAAATTCCTGTTGAACTCCTTCAAAATACACTAAGCTTTTCTCTACATTAGCAACCAGACCAAACACCTATGAGAAATATTGAGAGTGTTGAATAAGCAATTTGGCAGACTTCAGCTCTCCTTTGCAGAATAGTAGTAAGTCATCTGCAAACCCAAGCTGTAGAATTTGCAGTTTCTTACACCTTGGATGAAATTTGAAGCTTTTTTCCTCGCACATCCCCTTTAAACTTCTGCTAAAATACTCCATGGAAAGGACAAATAAAAAAGGGGAGAGAGGATTCCCTTGTCTCAATCATTTTCTAGCAGGGAATGGTAACACTGGTTTACCATTGAGAAGGATTGAGTATGAAATAGTTGTGATGCAGCACATGATCCATTTGACAAACTTTGCTGGAAACTAGAGGCAGTTTAGGATTTGCTCAATATATGGTCATTCCACTGAATCATAGGTTTTCCTCATCAATATTTTCAACATACATCTAGGAGTGATACCTTTTCTTCCATACCCCTTCACCAGTTCATGGCTCAATATAATATTGTTAGTGATTAACCTTCCTAGGACAAAAGCAGATTGGCTTTTATCCACAAGGCTGTCCATAACACCCTGCATACGATTAGTAAGAATTTTGGAGATCAGTTTATACAACATAGTGCAACAAGCTATAGGTTTAAATTCAGATATCTTTGTCGGGTTCTTGATTTTTGGAATCAATGTTATTGTGTGCAGTTTATAGCTTTGTATATATCCCTGTCCGTGAAGAACTCAAGCACAACAACTGTAACATCTCTACCAATCACATTCCAAGCATTTTTGAAGAATAGTGCATTGAACCCATCACTACCAGGAGCTTTGTGGTCATCTATGCTCATAAGGGCTTGATATACTTCATCATGAGTTACTTGTGCTATCAATTGTAGTTGGTGTTGTCTAGTAAGTACATTCCCACGCTTCATGATCTTAGGATTTACTGTTGGTAGTTAATCAACAGCACTGCCTAGGAGCTCTTTATAAAAACTGGTCACCTCCTCCACTATGCCTTCCGGCTGCTGAAGGATATCACCATCAGTATTAATGAGGCTTTTGATCCTGTTTTGAGCCTGTCTATTCTTCAAACAAGCAAAAAAATAGGCAGTATTATCATCTACTAGTTCTCACCATTTGTTTCTTGATTTTTGTTTAAGAATACTTTCCTCCACTAGGCTCCATTTCCCTAATTCAAACTTCACTTCATTTTCTTCTACAAACAACACATTTGGTTGAGTGTCGCTTCCCATTTGTGTTTGAATATCTTGCAACTTCTGTCGATATAACTCAATCTTCTCCCCTATAGTTCTGAAATCTTTTTGGTTCAGTCGTTTCAAATCTTTCTTCAATGCTTTTAGTTTCCAGCATATGTCTGTCATGTGATTCTTTCCAATTTGTCTACCCCAAACATTTGCCACCGCATTTAGAAAGTCTTTGTGTTATGCTAGACAGTTAAGGAATCTAAAAGGCTTTGGACTCCTCTTCACAGCATCCTTGAGCTGAATACTTAAGGGGGTATGATCTGAAATCCCAAGGTTTAAAATGACCACCTCTGTAACAGCTACTGTAAGAAACCATTCATCATTTACTAGATCTCTGTCTATCCTGCTACAATTTTCCCATTTAAGCATGTGAATCTTCTACCCATTGTACGTAGTTCAATCATGCCACTAGCTTGCAAAAAATCATTGAAGTCCTTGATCTCATAGTACAGTACTGGATTACCAAACTGTCTGCCATCTATGTCAGTTATAGTTTAAAATCTCCAATATCTATCCATGGTCTTTGAACATAATTATTGACACTTTTCAATTCCTCCCATAGGTCTTTCCTTGTCACAATAGTGTGCATTCCATAAACTGCTGTCAAATTGAATTTTAGTTGCAACTGTGATATACTAATTATACCATGGATGGTCTGAGCACTCATGCTTGTTGCTTCAAATTCCACTCTGCTTGGATCCCAAATAATCCATATAATCCCTTCAGATCTATGAGAGTAGTTTGCGCACCATCTTCAATTTGTTGCAATCTTATTTATTACTCTACTAGCATTCTCCTCCTTTACTCTATTCTCCAGTATAGCTATCAATCCTACATCATTATTTATAATGAACTTCTTTACTTCTGTATGCGGCAAAAATCGGAAAGACCAATTTCACGATCTGCGAAGGCATTATGTAATTTCACCTCGAAGGGCCTGGAGAATAGCTCGGGGTTTGAAGTCTTCGAGGGTTCTTCATGCCCGATGTCGGGGCAGAATGAACCGGGAGTTATCACAATTAAGCGGGAAGTTCCCTAGGAGCAGTATTTTTCTGACAATGCCTATACAAATAGTGACAGCCTGCACCAGGCTGATTGAGTATTTGTACCGGTTACTTTATGTAATAATTATGCATGTGTGATATTGGGATTTCTCCCACATATATAAAGGGGATCCTTGTCAATTTTTGTAAGGGGGGACAATATACAACACACTACATTCAATACAAGAACATTCAACATACTCTTTATTTGATTCTATTGCTTATATTTATTATCTTATTTATATTTATCACATTTCATTAATTGTTCTTCATTTATTGCTCATTATTGGTTATAAAGATCCGCCATCAAATTTATCATAACTGTTTATCCTTCATCGACTGCCCTTAGCCGCGCATCCGACTCGACTTCGAGGCCCCGTATACGCCAGCTCGAGGGCCCGTCTAGCCATTCGGTTTGATTATTACACTATCTACATGCTCTTATCTTACCTTCTCATATTTCACTTAGAATCTATTGCCTAACAACTAGCATAAAAACAGATCACATATTATTAGAACCACAAAATTAAATCTAATTGTTATTACCATTTTCAAGGTAAACAGTTTGGCGCCAACCGTGGGGCTAAGAATAATAGTGATTGTTTTCTTGCTGGTTTACTAAATAACGCAAGTTGTATTTTACACTTTTTCTTGTCCAAGAATCTTTGATTTCAGGTCAAAATGTCTAACTCAGTAAACGCACATGACAACGACGATCTCGAAGACCATAGAGAGTATGGTGCAGCTGTTCCAGGTAATGCTGTACCACCACAAAACCCTGAGGTTGCACCAGAACCGAACCCGGGAAGAAAGAGAGGCAAACAGGGGAAGCGAAGTGGGAAAACC